ATATCCTGTGTGGACTTCACATCTCATCCCAGAGAATGTGGCAATGCAGCTTGGAGGAAGCTTTCACATGACATCGCTTTCCAATATTGAGTCAATCATGAAACTAGGAATTGTCCCTGGTGGAATGGAGGGATATAGAGGTAGTGTTTTCTTCAACCACTTTGCGCCGTGGGATGATCGATCATCAAAGATTCTGAGATCAAGATGGCCAAGAGGGGGAATGCCCGTTTGCCTTTATGTTCCAATCATGACTTTGAGGAAGCTTGGAGGAAGAATTTCGGAGAATTCCTACACTGTTGTTTTTAGAGAAGTTCCATGGAGATGTGTACGAGGTGCTTGGTATTGGGATGACCACGGTCAGGCATGGAGGAGACTCCTGCTGGGAAGCACTGGAGAGCAAGTTGTTCTAGCGGCACGTCATGGACTTTGGGTTGCTCAGAAGCATACCATCCTCGAGAGAGCCGACGAAGTCACGAAGTCAGCCTCGGCGACAGATGACAACGTCCAAAAGCTCGTGTCCCTTATCGATGAAGTACGATTCGATGACAATGGAGAGCTGATCGAGGATTCCATCAGTGAGGAAACTTGGGACGAAATCATCTCCAGAACATGTGAAGGGTATCGCAACGTAGATGGCAATATTTTGTGTCCATCATGTATGCATTTGACTTCTTCATCTTTGTCCGTATGCCTATCTTGTCAAGGCAGGCTACTCTCGTGTGGCATTCGCAACACTGTCATTTCCGATTCACCCGTTGATCTTGTGAGCGACGATGAAGAGGAAAAGAAGGAAGAGAAGAAGCCTGAACATGATGATCAAGATATATTGGACCAGGCCACTATGGACGAGATCAGAAAGGCTTGGGAAGAAGACATCGCTCAAACTGAAGCAGCTGATGACGACGAGGACATGGACAATCAAGATCCTTCCAAACCGTCTGATGGTGCAGAGAACCTCAAGAGTGACAATGTCGAGACCCCATCTTTCAATGAGGACGAGATCGACTACGGTCGTGATTCTGATCTAGAAGATGAAGACGAACGAAACGTGATCATCGAGATCCAGAGGAGCACACAACAATATGAGGGGAAGAAACGTCAAGATGGTGAGCCCGAGGATGAAGACGTCACCGACGACTTACATCCGGAGGCGAATCGACCAACAGATCGCGATGAACCGGGATACTATGCACAGCACGGAGCGACCGAGTTCAATCCCGAAGAAGGAAGAGACAACGAAGATCTCCCCATCTATTGTCGAGTACCGGAACCTCGAATCTATGCGCATCAAGAGAGAGCCTACTGTCAGGACGTCTCCATGAATGCATCGGGTTTGATGGATAGGTATGTGGTCAAATGTGTGCTGAACATGATCTCCCTGATGTACAAGAGCTACTATTGCACCAGCCTTACCGACTTCAAAGCAAATTGGAAAAAGAAGCGTCTGGATGTGATAAGCAAGTTCGGTACAGGAGATTCCACTGAAATCGATGACGATGGGAGACCATTGGATCCAACAGATGACATGATGTTAAACTTTGCCAACGACAACAATATTACAACTGAGGAGGCCTGGCACCGATTCAGAGGAGAGCAATTCATTTGCAAGGTAGCACTCATGATCCTATCATTTGGTCATACTCCGAAATCCTTCAAGGAGGAATATGGCAACTTCGAATACTCCACCAACTTGACTGATGCCCAGCTTGAGGAGTTGAAAGCGAAGAAAGCCAGTGCAATGACTGAATTGGTACAGAAGTGCATCCATGCGATTTATGGGTGTCGGACATATTCTTATTTCAGAACCGACATTACATCACCCTACCACAAGGTGATCGATCCTCTGGACATCATGTACTCGAGAATGAAGAGCAAGTGGGAGAAGTCTATTCTGTTGATCGTTGATCAACATGAGATTAGGTTGCCCCCACAAGCTCAGGAAGTCATAGAGTCAATGGCCAGAAACCCCAACGTTGGACATACAGAGAGATGGATGAGCGTGGTAGAACACAAGCATGTTCAAGCTCTTACCAATCGTCTAGGCTTTGGAGATAGGGCCAAGGAGATTCAGGGCAAGAAGAAGCAGGCAGCCAAGGCAACGGCTAAGTCAACATCAACGACTAAGTCTGAAGCGAAAGCAGCATCTTCGTCAAGAGCTGAGACAAAGCCAGCATCTACACCCAGAACCGAGGCCAAGCCGTCGTCAGCACCAAGTGAGGAGCCAAAACCTCCAACAGCACCTAAGAGTTTCGGGCCCTCATCAGCAGAGGAGAACAAGGCGAAAGCTGCTCCAAAAGCCAGACCACTTGACAAATCACCATCCAGTGCTACCGATGTGTTTGAGCAAGCTTTGCAGGAAGATCTTGCCGCCAACGCACATACAGCAGAAGGTACAACTTCTTCATCATCCCGAGGACATTCCAAAGGAGGAGGCCAATCTGGAACATCTTGGAGGCCGGCGCTAACGCAAGAACGTCGCGAAGTACCTCAACCTTCTGAAAAGGGAAAGGGAAAGAGCAAGTCCAAGGGAAAGTCCAAGAAGGGAGAAGATGATCGGTGGGATGCTCAGGGCAACTGGGATCATCGTGGATGGAGAGGTTATCACCAGTGGTGATTTCTTTGAACGACTATGAGGATACCATGCAAGCCAGGGAGGAAGTCATTCACCGGATGTCTATCTGACCTGGAACGCTGTAAGTGTATCATTGCAAATCGTCAATTTGATTTGATACCATGAGCATAATGGAAGGAAGACAATCACCGACTGTCTCTCCGACTTGCCGTTCTGTAAGTGTATCCAAACCAAAACCTACATCTTTTGAGGAGTGTGAAGTCAGTTGCCGATGTGACATCTACGTGGAAGTCACCAGTTCGGATCTACATCAAAGCGATGCTCTTTTGAGTGGATACTGAGCGAGGCCTCATGACTGTCTCACTTGTTCAATTCGATTTTTTTTCATAGGTTCTGAGCCATAGTTGCACACTTTATATGTAAAAGTCCGCTTTAGTCCAGCATGTTTTGTAGTATGAGCCTCATATGAGTCTCGCGGCAAATCATACAATTTCTTTGTAGCACTTACATCCCTAAATTTTCGTGTGTGATCGGAACATATTGTTGCCGTTCACATGGGGGGTGCGAATGGAAGTGCAGCGACATGTACAGTGCAACATGTACATATATATGTATCATATGTACTTTGGCTCAAGGATCAAGCGACTAGAAAAGGTGCGGTTTCCGTTCCGACGCTACGCCGCTTATGGACCGTCAGTGATAGCTTCAAACTACGCTGATTAAGATCCACTCGCACTATATGAGCCTTTACAAAAATCCATGGACTGGGGGGCATATGACTGTTTCCCTAAGAATCTAGGAACCAAATCATTGGTGCGAGCACTTCTTCAAGGAAGCGTGAGCTGTCCTACGTCCTAGCTAGGAGCTTCCTATTGCTATTAGCTTACCTCCTTACTTAATTAGATTAAGTAGGTGCCTGCCTACTTACTTAAGTAAGGGCGGGCTTTACAAAAAAGAACTCTCATTGACTGGAAGCGTTTTTTTCACCAGCAGGTACTGTGATCATCCCCGCGGACCTGGGGAGCTGAGCTGTGCTGCGGTGCCGTGTGCCTCAACCCATGTCACTCCTGTTTCGGGCGTGATAAGACACTCTTTTGAACGAGAAAGAGCAGTGGTTGATCGATCAGAAAGAGGGCGTGATGTTGAAAGAACTCTTGCAACTTCTTATCCTCACACATGTTGGAGACATACGGACATACTGTACTGTAGTCGTACCAAAATGTCAGAGGAGAATCTGACTAGGCCAAAGCTCAAGAGTTGCAGTAAGCAAAGGAAGGGCCATGAAGCATCCATACTCGGGATAGATATAGCGGGGATACCCCTCGGTCATGTACCACCAATAGGCACCAATAGGCTATATGCTTAGCTTTATGCCAATACCAATCCAACCGACCCCTGGCTTTCAGACAACACCGACCAGTCCGACCCGATGGATGGCCGGGCTTGTCACATCACCAAACGGTCACCTCGATGTCTGAGCACGATGCAGTTTGTTGGGTCATGGAGAGTTTTTGTAGGTATGTAAAGCCTCTTATTGGTGTATATATATATATATGTTGTTTAATATATGTGTATCTATATATAGATATGTGTGACATCGCGTACGAGATCATAGACATTCACTGGGTGATGTTACCGCAGTGAAGAGTTGATTCCGTTTTCTGCTCAGCCCCAGTGGCTGCAGCTACGTTTCACCACAGACAACAGTAGCTTCGGAATCCCGAAGCAACGGCGCCTTGCTTGGACGATCATCTTGACAAGCAGAGACAGTTAACTCCAGCGTTGAAGTGAAGTTTCGGATGAAATCCCCATACAAGTGGGTGTGCAAGTCCTACCACTCTCATCAGATCTCCAAGGGGATGATCATCAAGAAACACTCAGCAAGCGCCTGCGGACACAAACCTGTGCCCTCGGCTTCCGTAGAGACAGAGCCGGAGGGTGGGGATCGCTGCGGCAGAACGTTGAAGAGCGACGTGGCGGGATCGAGCGACGTTCGGTTCACGACTCGATGCCGAAAAGAAGCAACGCTGCAAAACCACGGTGGCGACCGTCCGGCGGTGCGGCGATACGACCGTGAAACTCAGCGGCGCGGACGTGGCGAAGAACCTTCGGATCCAAGACTGTTTGCAGTATGGGAGCAAGCAACATTTGTTGGCTTTGGTTTTTACTAAGAATATGTGGTGAAGAATGGCCGTGTTGGTGCAAGCTGCACAGGAAAGAGTACAGAAGGGGTACGGACCTGCTTGAAATGACGTGCCCCTTTTGCAACCAATTTCCCTTGAAATGCACCGAGAACAGATGAGAACAGGAACTTGTTGGATGTGCTAAGTGCACTGTGGATCATTGTAGCAGATTGGCTTGAACTGCGCATTGATGCTAGCATCTTGTAATTTTGTGCTTTCCACCAAAAGTGTGCTCGCATTCTCAGGAACCCAAGACGCAGAGGCGCTTCTGGTGTGGTCCCAGTTCCCGGGTTCACATACCAGTTGACAAATGTGACAGTGTAGCAGGACTCTTGGAACCCAGAATGCACCACTTCACCTCCCGTCCAGTCAAGTCGCAATCCAAGGATGTACGGGGGTGAACCAGTGGTGTGAAACGATGCAGCTGGGCCGTGGTTCAGACAGATTCAGGGACCTCACCCGTGTCATGTAGTCATGTCCATTCCCATGTTTCTGAGGCGTTTGGCTTCACTCCGCAGCCAACCAACCGGGGATGTTCTTTCTTTCCAACAGCAACCCACTTGCATTGCAGGCCTGGGATTGGGAGAATTGGAACGACCGAAGTTGGAAAAGCACCGGCAAACGAGGCTCGGCTGGTGGAGATCACTTTGGGACCAAAAGTTTTCTTGGAAGCCAGTCCAGTATGTCCATGTCCTTTCGCTTCTTGAACAACCCACGATTGACCCAACTGTCGGGCTGCGCATGTTCCTTCACCGTGGGGGCATTTTGCTGCGTGTCGCAGGCGTCGGCCATGGGATCCATCCTGTTTGGGTGGGAGCAATCAAAAGATAGTAGCGTCCTTGTTCCTAGTAGTAATGCCAGGAACCCCTAGTAGCGTCCTCGCTACTATGCCGTTCTCCCCGTACTAGTCAAGATGTTCCGTGATGTTCCGTGGATGAACATCTTCTCGGAATCGCCGCGGGGGTGTACGAACGCAAGATCTTGCAAGCAGCATCGCTGTGTTCATTGCGCACGTCGCGCGCGAATGTGGAGTGAACACTTGTCGTTGGCTACTCATGTTTCAGAAAAATTGCTGTTCTTTTCAAAAATTATCCTGGCAAGAGACCCGAACCAGACACGGGTGAGTATTCCACACTAGAGCACACATATGACAAGATCACACGTGTCAGAGCACAGAGCACACACAGGAGAAAAAGAGCAGATAGGTGAGAGCACACATGTGTGAGAGTGTACGCGGCGGTCCACAAAGTACTGCACCTCGTACACAAAGCTCTGCGCCTGCTGCAAAAACGTGCACTTGGAGGTCCACAATGTGCTTGCCAAGAAATCTGCACATCATGATTCGCATCGCGCCACAACAGCGTTCCAAAGACAAGCGAGATACCAAAAACGAAGCTTTCGCGCGATAACTTCTTCCAAAAAAAACGCCACATGTCCAAAGTTCACCATTCACTGCACCTGCAACAAAATCATTGCACGAAAGACCACCACCAAGTTGCATGACTGTGCCGTAAATGGCATCGAATTGGCCAGACACGCCGGTGAGCATCTTCGATCAAATCCTAAGAGCCCCAAGTGTGGCCACTTTGTTTTGAAACATAACCGAGTCATTGAGACCCCGCAGAGCTCGGACTGCAGAGATAGGAAGCAGCAGATCTCTTCTAATTATATACAATAACAGGTGCCACGCTAGTAGTAACAGGTGCCTTACTAGTAGTAACAAGAAGCTATTAGAAACAAGTGCCACGCTACTAGTAACAAAAAGCTACTAGTAACAGGTGCCACGCTAGTAGTAACAGGTGCCTTACTAGTAGTAACAAGAAGCTATTAGAAACAAGTGCCACGCTACTAGTAACAAAAAGCTACTAGTAACAGGTGCCACGCTAGTAGTCTTGGGCGAGGTGAATGGACCCGCAAGTCTCGCCACTGAGCCATCACCGATGAGGCCTGCTTGTGCTCTTAAAATGGATCATAGGTAGAAGGCGAATTTGTTGACCAGGGGGCCGTGCGTTTATCAAAGAACCACACGTACACGAGATGTGTTTTGCTTTGTTTAATACCCTGTTACTGATGAACTAGATTCTCAGCGCCAGTCACCGTCCGGTGTTGCCTCGTTTTGGCCCGCCTTCAACAAGCAAGGAGCAAAAACGAGCAGAGCACCAGGGTCAAGGAGAAGAATGCCACCAGTGAGAAATGTTCCAACGAGCAAAGCCGGCGCAAAAGGATGGCATGCACAGCAACGGTGGAACTAGCCTGGACGATCCCGTTGAGAGAGCCCAGAGGCTTGGTATTGACATGTATTGACTCTGTTCCTATGTAGTCGTGCACCTGAGTCACTTTGCTTTGCGTTCGGTCTTGGAGTTCCTCATTTTAGTAACATGAGCTCATTGTGCACAAGTACAGATGTGGGTTCCAACAATGCCAGTGACTCAGGTTGTGCTGTTTGCTTTACCAACCAGTCTTTCTTGGGGCCATAGAGTTCATGCAAACGTCTTCGTGCTCACCATGTGTTCAGCTGGTGAACGGCTTGCATTGGCTCAAGCACATCAGATCTGCTTGAGGATCCGAAAGCAATTAAAAGATATTGTCCACCACGACCACAAAAACACCCACAATGGAGAATGGCTTTGTTTGGGTTTAGGAACACAGTATGCCCTACAAAATGCCCTACAATAAGAGCGACTTATCATATATAATATCATAATAAGTTCTGAAAGAGCTGGCAGTCATGTGCAGCGTTGCATAGTTTGAATGTGCTTTGCGTATGTAGGACTGATGTCGCAAAAGAAACAAAACAGCTTATATACAGAGTTGGTGAGAGGGCCTTCCCTCTCGGGTGAAAGTTTCTTGGGGATTCCAAGTTGGCTTTATATCGGGTCAGCTCCAAGACCTAGAACACGATTGCATCAGCATTGCAGGCCCCAAGCTAGTCAATGATAGTTGTGGACAAGGTCTGGGGGTTGTCTTGGGTCCTGGCCATGGAAATCACAAAGTGATGCAGAGAAAAGCACTGGTTTGGTCAAGTGTTTTTCACTGTCCGACGGGTTAGCGGGCTTAGTGCTCCTAGGATGTTTGACCCTCACCATAAGGAAGGCTGTAGGATTTGCCTTTTGCTTTACAATATTCTAGCCAAGCCAAAAGCTCGAATGCAAGGCCACCCTTATGTTCCAACTCGGCTGGTTGGGAGAAACGACAGAAACCTACACACCATTGAATTGGCCATCGTGCTGGGCCATAGCTTCCATGGAGCACGAAGACGCGACCTGGCCCAATGGGTGAACATGAGAAGTACTATTCTGCCCCCCTACTTTGAGACACAATTGTCATCACAAATCTCAAACAGTTCGCATGAAATCTGAGCGGTTGAAATCTGAACGGTTCGGATCGTTGAAAGGGTTGAGAGTTGAGAATCCAACCTGAGCGCAACTTTTAGCAGAGCTCAGCAATTTAGCAGAGGAGATGCGAGACACGCGAGTTTGTTGGGTTTGGTTTGTTTGTGTCGAACATGTTCAACCCTCTGATTTTCCAAAGTGCTGCATAAATCTGCCTTGGCCTTGCACCTTTCGGATATTAATAATTCATAGGAGATGAGTTTGCCACCATTTGGCAACATGCGGTTGAGGAAAGCTTTAACAGTACATTCCATAGGATACCACTGCACCAGACCAAAAGTATTCGATCACTCCTAGCCAAAAGCAAACTTTTGTTTGTGTGCGTTCTGTTTAGAGACAGAGTATACCACTTCGGGATCCATGTCATTCTCTCTTCGAAAGTGGTTTGGACGAAGGTGTCCCAGCTCCGGAAGGAGCGCGCCTTGTTGCTTGGCCGGCGTCCCCAGGACGGTGCCGGGGTGAAGATTCGGATGGGAACCACCTTCCTTTTTGGAAGAGCGCAAGCACTCATTTGATCTCATTGGTGGTTTTTGCTTTAGTTTCTCCATGTTTTTCCCAATATGATCTACTGTTGAACCTTCTAGGATCTTCCAGGTGTGCTTTGCTCAATCAGATCAGCCTCATGGCCTCCGCGACCCGGGACCTGGGCAATACTATAACCCCATCGATACCCTTCGAACGCCTTCGAGAGCAGCACTACCTTTTCAAGTTGTTCAACTCACTTTGGTCATGATCAAAGACGGCAGATATGAGACTGTCTCAAAGGGCAAGAATATTGGTGGAAGGAACATGATCATTCTGTTTACAGGGCCTTACAAGCTGCATCGATTGCAGAAGATAGACACTGGGCCGCAGTGACTTTGCCTCTGAGGCGAGTTGAGCACTTTACGAGCAAAGTTTGCCTGGTTCTCAGATCCTCAGTTTTCATCTGATCAGCTCCGGTGTACTGTCATTTGTGGTATATTGGTATGCTATGCTATGATGGCGTCCATAAATACTTGCCCCCTGCACATGATCAATAACGGGTCAATGTTTGATGTCACACCCTTTTCACAGTACATCAGGCTACCGAAATTTGGGAACCACAGGGTTTAAGGGAGAGCAGTGACAGGGTTTGATCAAGTGAGAGCTGTGAAGTGCATTGGAAAATGCATTGAAATGCTGAAGTGCACCACATGTCCATGAGATTCCATGAGTCTTTTCTCTTTCAATCGGTACATGTTACATGGCATTGAGCATTCCCCAACTTCGCTCCACTTAGGAGCTCACTTTGCAGACCTTACGTGCACTTCTGGGCCTCGAATTGAGCTGCACCTGGGCCGACATCGTCGCCCCCTGGCTCAATTGGAGTCCAAAAGCCGGTCGAAGAGGGTCCTGGTTTTGAGCTATTTCTATTGTGAAAGTGAACCATTCGTGTATTTGGAGCTGTGCAAATCATTCAGCCGGTATGTCACTGCCCCAAATGGCTTGGAGTCCTTGCTGCCGCCTCGCTGCATGTCCTGAAGATATGCTTTATCACTTGCGCCTTGGCCCACCAGGAGCATGTGGAGCTTCTAACTCGTGTGGCTGATGGACGTAAGGGGAAGGTGCCCTCCCACTCGGGCACTCGGGCTGATTCGGGATCGGGTCATTGAGTCATTGGGTTGATAGGGCGAGGGTCGTTTGATGTACATTACAAATTAAGGTGTTTCATAGTGGCCTCACTCCATGCGTGATGTCTTTCCAAACTGCTGCGAACCTTTGGAGTTACAGAAGTTCCAATTTTGACTCGCAAGGATTTGCGGCGCATTTTCAATTGGAAAGCCAATCACCTCACCAAAGACGTGCACATCCGCCAGGAACCTCCCGACGCGGAAGAGCGCGAGGTTGAAGAGCTTCAGCAACTCTTGCTGAACGCTGAGATGGTGCCGCCCCTTCGGTTGGGGGTGGCGTTCCGTGTGGCGTTCCTTCAGCCTCATATTGACCCAGATCAGATGTGAATTGAATTGGGCATAGTTGGAAACATGTTGGAACCTCATGCAAACATGTTGAGATACGCAGGAACGACCTTATGGATGACTTTCAGCATGAAAAGTTGCTTGACAACTCTAGGAATCTATGGCACGGATGTCGAATTGGCCAGGATTTGGATGAGAAAGAGAAACAGTTGGAGGAGCAACAGAATCGTGTGCAGAGCCTGTCCAATGTTCTCGCGAAACAGCAGAACGTAGGGAGCCTGGAATTGCAAAAGATGCCCATGTCAGTCAGAGGGTTGCTGAACCACCAGAAAGATCATCTCAACAGGCCAAATCGACAGGGACAGAAGTGAGGCCTTTTGCTTGCAAAAATGCGTAGCTGTTTGATGTGTTCACTTGTTGCATGTTTGACATGTGCTAACTACATTGTTCCGCTAAGCGGCTAAGTGTCCACTGAAAATATAGCTGTCAAGAACACCATGGATATCCAGGCCCAGACATGCCATTGCCAAGTCGTATTAGCAGTCAGCCAGACAACACATATTTGATGCGCGACACACGCGACAAACGCGGGACGGAGAATTGGACGGATCTGAGCTCCGAGGTCCTGGACATGCAAGCCTGGCTGAATTCGTCCAAATTGGACCTGGGTCTTAGACGGTCTTTTACGACGTTCCATGCTCAGTCATTCCGCAGGTTGTCCAGTAAGACCTTTTGCATCCAGACAAGAGGTGTCGGCAACGGGTGATTTGCTGAGTAGACTCTTGTGAGTGGAAGCGCCAGGACGGCTGCACAGCTGAGTAACCAACAAGAGCAGAAGGACAGGGTGCTCATTGTCAGTAGCCTGCTTCATGAGTAGGGCGAGAAACAAATCCTGAGGGACATGGGCTATAATGAAGAACCCAAGTAGATAAACGACTAGCAAAAATGATGGTATATATATATATATAAGAGCCCCTTTGAGAAGGCCCCTTTAAAGGTGCTTGCCTTTTTTGATCTCTTTATATATATATATATATTACATATTTTTTTGTGTGTGTGTCTAGCTTGTCGTTTGAAAGCACTTGTCATTTATATACATGCATGTCCTACTGGATTGGAGTCCCGTGCCATGCGTCTCACAGAAGTCATTCCAAGCCCACTGCTTACACAATTCTTGGCCAAACGACATCCACGGCTGAGTCGTGGAGAGCATCTCCCGAGAAACTGAAGGGTCCCCGTGCTTCTGGGACCCAACTGACCATAAAAGACCAGCACCAGAGGGGCAACCAATTTGTGGGGGTAGTCTTCATGTTTGGTTCGACACACCTGATGACTTATCTTCTGGCTTTGTGGTCTACAATCCCATCAAACGACAGGTCTTTGGTGAAACGGCAAAACAACACATCTCATATCATATCATTCTATAACATGCCCGGCTGGATCACTTGTACTGCTGTTGACCGTACCTTGAAGCCTTTCTTCGGCAGGACATGGTTTCCAGACAAAGTGAACAGCACAAAGCCCAGACTGGTCCAAAAGAACCTTCCACACAGATCGACTCCAGCGAAAAATCAAGGGTCCGATTGTATTGAAACCGTGCAGCATCCTTCGGTTGTTTTGGCGTTGAGTCATCGAGATAATCCAAAGTGCAGAAGGTGATTCAGACATAATACTTGGACAGTTTGCATGACGACTGTAGCTGTAGTGTTGATGGACAATACCCTGGGCCTAACTTGACGTTTTGGCCTTCAACATGGATACATGTAGATGAACTGAGAAGTGAAGACGGCAAATCCCTGGGTGTGTTGGGCAAAGCAATGAATCCTTCAAGCCAGAATTCCTGAGGTCACATTCACCTCTGTTGTATAATATACTGTTAATAGTACAAGCTATATATTATAGTATACTCTAAATAGTATTGAATAGTATACTTTATATATATAGCTTGGGTGGTTTGGACCAACCAACCCACTTTGTATCACGAAAAACCGTCTTCGAGTGGGAAGTGTTTGAAGCGACAACATGTGATACTCGTACCTCATCGCAGGGTTTCCCAGTTGTCGGCCACAAAACACACACTATTCACCAAGACCTTGCGCACACACACGGCCAACCACCTTGCCCCGAGGCTCGTCGCTTTGACCGTGGAGAGGGATCGCCTCCGGGACGACCGCGACCGACTCCGTCACGAGGAGACGCCACCCGACGATCGACGGGGCGCCGTGGTCCGCGTCTTTTCAGTCACAGCTGGTCATCGGAGTTTTGGGTCAGTGGATTTTGACAGATGCTGAGGCACAGGCAAGCATCAGCCATGGGTCATTGGCTGTTTTGCTCAGGTTTTGGCCTACGGTGGCCTTGCTAAAACATGGAAAGACGAGGGCCCCACCGTCTCTAGATGTTCTTTGTCTGCAGAATCTTGATGGCAAGGGCCATGGTCAAAGTGCTCAGCTATCAGTAGCCACTTCTTCTTTGATTTCGTTCTATCTTTGGGAGTAAATACCCATCGTTTCAACTTGCAGTTCACCCATGTTCAACCCTACTTCCCCCAACAAAAGTCTTTGGGCCACTATGCAGAAACTCTTAAGATCTTCTGAACCTCACGGATCTTCAACCCCCCAAAGAGAAATCCGTAGAAATCTATATCAAAAAATACAATCAGCAGGTCTTTTTTTCTGGACCTTTCGCCCAGCTCCGAAATCCAGACCTGTCCATCTCGCTGTTCCACCTGTCCGGGGCTCCACCATCATCTGTCCCTAGAGTGAGTGCCCCACCAGCTCTTCCAGGCAGAGCAGCTCCGGGAGTTGAGCCACGTGCAGCAGAGGCGCTTGCAGGAGAAGGCGGGAAGACCAAAGACCCGGCCGATGCCACCGCTGACCTGGTCAGGTCGCGTTTGTTGTCAGCGGGTGGGGAAAACCACCGAGAAAACCAGCGATGGGGTGTGAAAAGTGTGAAGAACCGGTGGTTTCAGGTGGGGGGAGGAAAATGGAAATTAGATGGACATTGGTGTGGAAATGTCCCGGGCGTTTTCTTCACGAAGTGAAGATAAAGCCCTTTTTGATCTTTCTTGCGTTCGCTTTTGTATGTGTTGGTGGCACTTTGCTGAGATATGATGCTATTTGCTGGGAGGTGAATCCATGCATTTTGCTCCAGTTCCCAAATCATCCAATCAGAACCTCCTTTTCAAAAACACAATATCTCTACTGATACTGTAAGATGTGTTGTGTTTTGAAGACGTGGGGATGTTTTTTTTGTTATATGTAAATGTAGCTTAACTGGGTGAATGTTATGAGGCACAATCCACCAGAACAACATGGTCAGGAAGATGTAAGCTACCTTCACCAAGTGGCTGCCCACTGTTGAGCACTACAAAGTGATGAAGAGCCATTGCAGGAAAGAGATACTTTATGGTGCAAGAAAGTGATTTCAGCAACACAAACGTAGATCAGAGTGTTGGGACACAGTTGTGACTGGCTCCACACTTTAAGTCACTTGCTGTGTTTTTTTTGTGAATGTCCGTCGCTGCATTGCATGTACTGTATGTGAGAATGTCTAGCTGGCTGCAGAGACAGACAGACAGACAGACAGACAGAGAGACAGACAGACAGACAGACAGACGGTGTCATGTTGGAATCTCATCGAATGCAGGAAAGCCAGCTGAGCTCAGCAGAGGCGTCCTTGGCCACCAACCAGCAAGCACTCTTCCGAAGGCAAGACCGACAGTTTGGTTCCCCTTCGTAGGTGTTGGTGCGCTTGTTGCCAAGACAAATAAGAAATTGCGGGAAGGGTGGCTTAAAGGTTCTCCACATCCAAATCTGAGAGTGTTCCATAGAGTTTCATCCCATTTTGTTCTAGGTCGGCATTTGTTGCGTGTGCCAGATTGACTTCATGAAGAAAGCCGAAGCACGTTGCGGAACGAAATCTTACGGATGAGTTTCCCGCAGGGAGAAAGAGCTGGGTGCCTTACAAGCAGACCACCAGCGTCAGCAGGTGGAAATCGAGGAGAGATGAGTCTCGGGATGGCCGGTGAATCGCTCTCTCAAACGAGTCACGGGGGGTGTTGGGTGTCACAGGAAGCAGAAGTGAACAAGGATTGTTCAGAAGTTATTTCTTAGATCATGATAGATCATGATAGATCATGGTAGATCATGATAGTCACAATAGATCATGGTAGATCATGATAGATCATGGTGAAGAGGGCAATCCTCACCATGGTTGCTTTTTTCATTAGGTTTGTTCTAAGGGATCTAGAGATTACCTCAGCGGCTTTGAATGATTGGCTCCTTTGGTTTTATGCCTCTTGGTGTGTGTGTGTGTGTGTTGTTTTGCTGCAAGTGTTTCAAGCAGGGGAGGAATGCTAATTGTTTTGTTGGTACTACCAAACTGTTGAATCTGGTGTCGGGTGGTTCACAGAATATGTGTTTGCGCTTCGCTTTTCACCCACCGAAATTGAGACTGTTGGCAACATTTGATCTCTAAATAGTTTACTGATGCGTGCTGTTGCCAGCGCATTCTATTTTGTTCCGGGCGTTCCATATTCAAAAGGCAGCAGGTCTGAACGGCCGGCACCAGGAACTGTGCGAAGCGGTGACGTGGCGCGACAACGAGGTGCCTTGAAACAATGGTTCATGTCTCGCCTTCAAACAAAATATCATCGTTTTTTGATATGTACTGTATATTATTGTATGTGTATATATATATATATATGTTTTTTTTCTGCGGGAGTATGGATGGAGGGATGGAGGGATGGACGGAGGGAGTCAGGGATTAATGGATGGACAGACTACACATCACTTCGCTTTGAGTGCAAGCAGCATGGCACTCCAGACTCATTCCATGTCACTTCACGTAGGCTGGCAGTTGTCCTGTCACATTGCATCAAAGGACCCTTTTTGTTGCCTTGAGGACTTGGCTCAGCTTCGATAGCAGTCTTTCATTGGTTAGTCCACACAGGCTGCTGAAGAGACATGTATTCTGCGGCTCGTCTTTGCCGATCGACCCCAAAATGCTGCTTTGGGCGAGCCTTTTCCGGCGGTCCATCTGCCGAAGCGATTGCCATGATACAGGCAAGCTTCAAGAAGAATCCTGCTCAAGCGCAAGCGACCTTTAAGTCCGTGTCGGAATTGAAGGATGGCCTGGTGAGCAGCGGGCAGCTCCGAACCTTCCAGATCAAAGCCGATGAGCCGGAGAGCTTTGGAGGAACCGACTCAGCTCCGAATCCCGTGGAGGTCCTCCTGTTTTCTCTCGGTGCATGCCAGGCAGGGCAAGGAAAGAAGGAGGTGACGTGACCAAAACAGAAGGTTTCATTACATATCATATCAGGTGTTCTATGGTTTAATTTGTTTCACCTCGATGGTCAAGTCGTGACCAGGAGATCACCACCAAGGCCTTTGCCAATGCCATGGGAGTGCCCCTGAAGCGGGTCTCCGTGGAGCTTCAAGGACACATTGACCTTCGAGGTTTCTTTGCCGTGGATGAAAGCATCCGAGCAGGTTTCAACAAGATTGAGGGCACCTTCACGGTGGAGTCCCCTGCAGACACGGAGACGATCGAGAAGTTGAAGGCTGCAGTGGATGCTCATTGTCCAGTGAAGGACATGTTGCAGGCCGTTCCAATGGAGGTGAAACTGAATCACATCCAAGTGTGAGAAGGTTTGAGCCAAAACAGTCCTTTTGCTTAGAGATCCTCATAAGGAGCTTCGGTGGCCAATAGTGTTGCCTTTTGCGTCTACTTGTGAGGTGTAGTCCATTCTCGATATACAGAGCAAAACGTCACAGGCTTCGCTCAAGCTGCAGAGCGAGCAAAAAAATGAGTGGCGGTATGCCACCAGGTCAGTGTTTTTTAATGTGTTTTGGTTCGACTACTGGGAAACGACTGGTTTGAAAAATGTGTATCCCAGGGGTGCATTCAACAGCAAGCAATCATGGCTCGTGATGTGAGATGATGTGAGTTGCTTAAAGAGTTTCGACCCAAAAACTGACTCGTTCAAGTGATTGCTTTGCTCATCTCACTCTGTTCAGCTGCGGTCATAGAGTCTTCACATGTCTCCACCCCAACCTTCCCAACCTCACCGGTCCTCAGTCCTGGCCACACGGTGTCGGGTCAACTGAGGTGGAGCACATCCGGTCCCAGCTCGAAGTCTTCGAGGTCGGGCGACGTCCGGAACTCACGGATCGCTTCCTTCTCGCGGGACAGAGAGAAGGATGATTGAGCCAGGGAGGACTAATCCCTATTAAAAGACACGGGGGGGCCCCCATTAAGAAAGCATAAGAAAACCTCAGGTGCATTATTTTCAGCTTTGAAACCAAAAAGTCACCCAGGAAAATGTTATATAAAATCCTTTATTAAACTCGTATCAAAAATTCAAAAAGCCTCCAGATCGAAGGATCTTCCTTTTCCCCTAAAACAACCTTTATTAGAATAGTGATTCTTCATTAGACTAACAACTAAAGCTTTCGAAAGGTGATGTCGCTGTGCCATGCGGTTTTGCGGTGGCAAGTGCGTTTGCGTGAGTCCGTGCCATTGGAGGAAGGAAAACCTGCTGGTGGATAGACAGGGTGGACACAGGTGAGCAGTTACGGTTGTTTTGGAACCTAATTGAAAAAAAGAACTCCCCCAAAGCCGGCCATGTTGGTAGTTTAGTAGCGGCTTAAAACGGCGAAAATTTAAAACAAATATAGACCGTACGTAGGGGGCTCCGACATGACTGTTCTTTCATCTGCGTTCGTTTTTGAATAGGTACTCGGGGTTAGGACTGATGAAGGACAGGTCGATCATGATCGCATGGAAGAGAATAGCTTGGGTGTGCTTGGACTGGCCTTCAGAGACAACAGTTGAGCTGGACTTAAACTTAAACATCTCGGACACAACCCAAGAACCGAGCTTATGTTTTCAGCGTTTGTGCAGGCGCACGGAATGACACAAATAGTGTGCGAAAGTATGCGAAAGTGCTTGCTTGCTTTATATCCAACCATCATGCAGTTGCTTTCATCTATTGAACATTTACATGCATTGACACCCATTTCTATGTACTTGAGGTGCCCACCTGAAAGTCCACACGCCCGCAGGCGGCCGAGCGTCGAAAGCACAGCAGGGGAACCCATGGCATTGTGACCGGAGAATCCGCCGGTGGGACAGTGACCGGTGGGACGATGTTTCACTCATTTCGAAAGGGTTTGACGTGGATGGAGTACTTGATGATCTTGGATGTAACAAATCTATGCAAAGCTGATGTTACAAGAGAAGTTGGACCAATGACAAGAAGATTGGTCTGCCAAGAATGGTTTGGCGGAACGTCCTTTTCAAGTTCCGATCAATGCCTTTTTTTCCCACGGAGGTCTGTTGACACAACCGTGCTTGGAAGTTTCACAGGTCGTATCCCGCCAGGTTTGCCAGGGATCAGTCCACACAAGCAAGCAAGTGTATGTTCAGTAGCTGTCGCAAGTTTCATCAAGCTGCAATCTGCGGTGCGTGAGGTAAGGCCCCATCTCTTAAACCCAAGTGTTCAATTGTGAATAAAGCACATAGTTGGCCCACGAGCTTCGCAACAAAATTACATAGTCTGTCAAGAAAACGTGCATGCAAATGGGCATGCGCTCGAATACTACAACATGCTAGAACTTTAGAGTGGCATGTATATACCTGGTGAGTACAAGTACATGGTGTAGTTGAGACATACCATGGCATACCTAGTTTGATGGTCTTTGGAGCAGCGTGGTTGGACAAAATGAACAGTGGCAGTGATAGTTCAAGGCTCCCCGCATTCAAGATTTTCAGCAAAACTCCAACACTGTCAAAAAATCATCCAAGCTCGGCAAAACTTCTGCCCTAGTATACTCCGCGGTTGTGAGCTCCCAAAAGCTGGTCCATTCTCCTTTCTGGCGTGAAGCCCACCTCGTCTGGGCGCCGAGGCTATCGTTCAGGAAGCAGCACTTTCTTGGGCCGTGTGGCGTTCGAAGCCTTGGCGCTGTGGTGGGTTCCGCTGTGAACTCGCCCTGTCGATGGACCCCAATGGACGGACTCGGTGTTTCCTGTCAAAGCCTCAAAAGGAAGTGTAAGAGTTATTAAGAGTTCATTGTGTTCTAATGGTTTCTATTTTTTTTGTGCCAAAGACCTTGAAGGCAGTGGTCTCAACAGACAACGATGACTCAAGGGGACCTGGGAAGACCTTACGAGGGTCATAGAGTCTCATAGAGAAATAGTACCTGTTGAAGCTTCTTGCTGAGTAATTTGGTGGCTACTGAAAGTTTTGGGGGTCCCAGCATTTCGAGATACAAAGTCTGACCGCCCTTCTGGGCCGCTCAAACCGCTAGCAAAATCTAGCAAAGGTGTCACAAAAGGCCGACAAAATTTGAATCAGGTCAGCCAGAAGCTTGGATGGCTCAGAGTCGCCTGCTGAGTGGCACAATTGAGGAAGGGATTGGAAGCAAGAATCAAACACCCAAACCCTGTACTGTAGCTTGTCGTTTTCGGCTCAGGCCAAGTTCATCGATCGGCTCAGCGCAACCCAGTGCGCGCGGAGAGCGCAGGCGGGTGAGGTGTTGAAGCCCCGAAGGCTTCAGGGCCTATGAGGCAAGTAGATCTCTAAACGGTCTAAACGGGTTTTTAGTTCCTTGAATAGAGAGAGAGAGAGAAAGAGAAAGAGAACTCTTAATTTGTTACGTTTTAAAGACTTTAATTAAATGGTTTCTTCCTTGGTCCACTTCTGGGGCGTACTTGAGGTTGCCAAAGTCGTTGCTTTCCAATCTCTTCAGGCCGGAGTCCAGCGTGCCCTCGACACCAGGGGCGGCGCCCACGGCGGTGTAGGCCCCAGAAAAGGAGGTGAAGGCTCCAGCCTTTTGCTTCGGGCGATGAAAGGACCCTGATTTTGATTGAAGACCACATTTCGGAGTCAGAAGATGGCAAGAATGAAGACTTTGACCAGTTGTCGGATCAAAAGGGCATCACGAGAACATCGCAACCTTGTGGAGAGCTCAGCCGCTGGAGCTCTTCCCGGGCAGGATTCTTCAAAGAGCACTCGCAGGCATCAAGGAAAGTGTTGCGAAGCAATCAATCTGTTGAATCCGACAAGACACCTTTCCACCACTGAAGAACCTTTCCTTTCTGAAGAACCTCGGTCAGAGACTGACCTGGCTCCTGAGATCGAAAAACTCGGGATGGACTGAGGATGGACAGGTTCGGGTCAGTCATCCGGTCTCTCAGGTCAGCCCCACATCGAGCCGCCGTGCATTACGTGCGGGGAGCTGGTGAATTGGGTTCCACATGCATTGCGTGGTGGACCGGGAGTGGGTCAAAGGGGCAAATAATGGAAACAAGCTTAAGGCAAAAACGAACATGCACACTATTGTGAGGATTTGTGAGGTAGGTTTAGGGATAAATTGGTTGGTAAAGGTGTGCTTTGCCGCGAGACCCTTACATGAGGGCATGCCCGGCATGCCCTGCTCAAGATCTTCCTTAACTCAGAATGGTTTGTATCCGCACCAATAGCACTGATGTTTGTGCCAGCTCAATATCGATCTGCCAAGGCATACATCCCAATTATATACAATCAAGCAGTGAAGCTACATAATATAATATCATCCAGTATTCTGGCTTGGCGGGCGGAACGCACCATGGCCCTTGGCACCAGAAACGCACGGAACTCGTGCTGTGAGGCCCAGTGGCACCCTTGGCGTCAATGGACAAAGAGGAACGCGCTGCGTTCCTTGGTGGGACATGTTGGGACATGGGAGGAGCACTTGGATGAATTCAACGCACTGAGTGCGTTTCTGAGGTTTCTCTCCCATTTCCCAATGGCTTCACGCACCGAGAGGCACGCCTTCAATGTTTGCTCGCTCATACATTTGATTTGCTATCCCAGTGAATTGGAGGCACCTCCGGCACCGGATTGATAGTTCTAAACACAAGTATTGAAATGGTGTTTTCAAAAGTATCTACAATGATTGTGCTATGTGTTTGTGCAATGAGATATACTTGATTTCTATGTAAAGGGAAATCCAGGGAGATTGAGCATCTATCATCATGGTTACGTGTATTGTTTAATTATTGTCTTGTTCGATTGAAATAAGCAAAACAGTTTTACAAATAATTGCGAACCCCAGATGACAAAAGATATTTGTGGGCAGCGCCTTTTAATGGCACCATCACCGAGACTCCAAAGCGTACACTGCCATGGACATTTTGCAGAAGCACCCAGCAATGGCACCGTGTAGTGGCCCTGCACCCAGCCTCCAAAAGCGCACACTGCCATTAACGTCTGGCAGCAGCGTCAAGGCTCCAAAGCCCACACGGCCGTGTACATTTGGAAGCAGCGCCTTGTGTAGCGCAATAGCACGCAAGCTTTAGGTATCGTTTCTTTTGTAATTTGAGATATAATAAGATATGTTGTGGACTATGATTTTATTATATACTCGTAGTTGAGTAAACGTAATAAAGTTATATATATATTGTTATTTATTTATAATTATTGAAATAATATGTTTATTTATTGTAATTTGGTTTATACGAAGAATTAATTGATAAAATATTTCTAGAAATAATTTAATTATGGATGTTTCTTTACATTTAATTATAAAAAACTAGCAAAATAGATATAATAAAATTATATGTATAGATAATTATAAAAATAACATATTGATATATTTAATT